ACCCAATTTTTATCCATATCTCCCTTATTAAGGCCTGTTTCCTACTGTTCTTCTCTTTCAGGTTCTTTCTTTTCCTTTACCTCCCTTTTTCCTTTCCATTATCCTGGTTCCTGTAGTTATGTCTGGATACATACTCATCAGGGTTTGGTTCTAGGATCCACATATGAGGGAGAATATATGTCATTTTTTTTTTCTGAGTCTGTGTTACTTCACTTAGTATAACAGTTCCTACTTCCATCCATTTACCTGCAATGGAAACATTTTTTTCTTTCTTTCTTTTTTTTTTTAGAATGTTCTTAATGAATAAAGAATTTCTCATTTTCAAAAATACTTTTTGCTATCTGAGAAAAAAATCATATAAAAATATTTCTTAGGGTTCAGGAGCTCTCATGGGGGATTCAATGAGGGCTGGGCAAACAGAATGCCTCCCGTGCCCCCACTGACTTACTCTTTGTCTCTCAGTGACTCATGTTTCTACCCATCACCTCTGTGTTACTAGTACCTACCTGGAAATGTTTAGTTGTATTTTCCAGGTTTGACAGAATTCCATACGGTGCAGGGAAAATGCCAGTGAGGTTCAAAGACTGAATGGCATTGCCAACATTATCCAGATCATTCAGCAAGACACCTACACACTCATTGTCACAAGCTAGAAGGGAAGGGAAGTGGAGAACATGAACGGCATGTGCAGTGGCCTGCCGTTGTCCGGTGGGTTGCATGAGTCACTGTGTCCTAAGAACCTAGATGGGTGCAGAGCATACCAGGCCACCACACAGATTTCACTCTCCACTCCAGCTCTGGGGTCAGATGGTGACTGAGACTCAGATCAGCAAAGTCACATTCTCAAGGTCATACAGAAAGCCTCAGAGTGACCCTGGGCAGGGCGCAGAACTTCAGATACTCCAACATTTATACATAGCGCCAACATCATCACTGGGACCAAACACAAGGAATCCCATGATTCCTTCCAAAGCGGGACTCCTGCTCTCTCCGATTGCCTTCAGATGCTTCCTCCTCAAGCACAAATGAAGGATGGTATGGGATCCAGTGCAGGGCGGGGGTTGCTTATAACAAATACAGAAGCGAAAGTAAAAATGGCTTCCAATTCTGTGATTCTCATTCTTTATAATCCTCTCCCTGAATACTGAGAAGACAAGATGACCATGGCTTGCACCAATCAGAAATGGAGAAAACAAGTAAAAAGACCTGAAATTTGGGCACTATAATGGCACCCACAAGGGCATTTCCTCTTTCTGATCAGCACCGACTGATCCTCCATTTCAATAAAGGAAATGTTGATGTAACTAAATACGAAGCCAAGATGATTATCTGGGTGTGACGGCACTTGGGAAGCTGAGGCAGGGTTTTGATGTTTGAGGCCAGCCTGGGCTATATAACAAGACTCTGCCTCAATCATTCAATCAATTGATCGATCGATCGATCCCTCCTGCCTCAGTTTACAAATACACAAGTAAAGTTTCAGTTAGGTAGATTCAACAGCCATCTACACTCAGGAAATGGAATAAAATATAAATGGACAATGGAACTCGTGGCATTCTGCTGACCCCATGGATTCCATAACCAGGTCTCTCTTCACCAAGGCAAATATTGAGGGAAACCCAACTTTCAACATGCAAAGGAGAAATACCTACAAACACAGTTGTTCTCCACCAGGATGTGCCTAGGTAAACATTCCTCACATCGGAGCCCGGTGGCCCCTGGCTTGCAGACACACTGCCCGGATGCACGGTCACAGTCACTGTGGACAGAGCCTTGGGGGTTGCAGTCACACTTCTGGCAGCTGCCACCTGGTGCTCGAGGGTTGCCATGGTAGCCTGAAGAGCACCTACAGAAAGGAGGATGGTAGGTACAGAGAGTGTAGTCTGTACCAGCCAGTGAGTGCTTACACTGCCAGAGGTAGTCATGTTTTTGTTCATGGATGCAGAACCCACACTCATCTTAGGAGACCTTGCTTTGGAATAGCAATGCAATGACTCCCAAAGTCTTAACCAGATCCCACATACTATCAAAGAGCAAGTGTTCCTATCAATCTCCGTGTGATAGCTCAGCAGCATACCTTTCACAGTACTGTCCTTCATAGCCCAGAAGGCAGGCATCACACCGGAAATCACTATCATCTTCCAAGACACAAGTGGGACTGAAACTGAAAGAAAATGTTTTTTCCGTAAATTAAGGTACTTTTTCATCACTACCATTCCAAAAGATCAGTGATTACACTAAGTAATTATACAAGCTTTGCAGAGCTTAAATCTGTTGGGCAAAAGGAAAATAAACATGTGAGCTATGTAAGGAACGCATGCATCTTATATCCATTTCTCAAAAAGAGTGGTAAGTAGATCAGTCTTACAGTTATAGCCAATTAGGCACCCAAGAAAAATTTCCACAATTAAAAGGGTCTTACTCTGAGATTAAGAGTTACCATATTTATCAGGTGATGACAGAGTTGAAAGGACCATGAGAAGGCTCCAGAAACTGCAGGAAGAAGACTGAACATGGCTGGTAAACAGAACTATACAGGCTGCAATGACCAGCAGAGAACAAGCCACAGAAAAGCCATGAGATCAGGTGGAACTTGAAAATGAAGTGTCTCTACAGGAGAGAGGAAGCTGTGTGGTAGGAGGAGCCAAATGGTCCAGATCCTCAAGGTTTAAGAGCTACTCAGACATGACTTCAACTTCTGGCTAGTTCCTTTCTTTGTTAAACATTTTGCATCCCACACAATAAACTGCCCTGGCACCATCTAGAGGCTAAAGTGGGTGCCAGCAAACTGAATCTTGACCTTAAGACCAACTCATCCAGCCTAGACTCAGGTCTGGCTCTTCGTTGGCTAGGAAGATGAAAGTGGACAGTATAAGTTACCAGCCCTGCACCTCTTCTGGCTTCTTTCTCCTTAAAATAAGGGAACAGACTTCCATGGAAACGCAAAACATGTAGAAAGCAAAGCAAGCAATTTGGGACCTCTCAGATTGAGCACTCACGCCAAATGTTCATGTTGCTGTAACAGAATTTAATACTAAGGGCTTGGGGGATGGTTAATCTTTTTCGATGGAAGAAGTAAAATTCATTATTCAAACAGCAAAGAAATGTACAAATCAGAAGTGTGAAATATCCATCCCACACATTTCTCTGGGCACACATAAGCCCTGGCCATGGATATAGATAGAAAGGAACTTTTTCCAAAATGGCACCACACTACATGTTCAGTTGCACACTTCCTGTGGTCACTGAACCAGCTACTCACTGACAGATACACATAATTCTTTTATTAGTGTTTGTATATTTATTTCATATTTTAGGATCATATACATACACACACACACACACACACACACACACACACACGTAGACCAACCCTCCATAGGGTGATGCTTTGCTTTGTTCTAATTTCTTATGAACAAACACATACATTCCATGCTCCCACACATAAACATTTCTATAATACAAACTCTAAAAAGAAGTTGATGAGTCAAATTTATACAAAGATTTAATACACCCCCTACAAATCATAGCAACAGTACCTATTTAAGACGCCTGGCAGTTATGACACATGGGTATACAGTGCATGTCATTTGGCTCTTGCCATCCCTTACTCAGGGACAGAAACAGAAGATTCAAAAAAACATTAATATTAGCTTCATTTTAATATACCATAAGTTGGTAATTGATCTTTCCATGTTTTAATACCCTGCCATTTAGTATAAATGATAACAAAATGTTACTTATGAGTCAGAATCTTCAATTCCTACTTTAAGTTTCTGGTTCTCTTTTGGAATTCAGGTAATTCTTATTTATTTGCTCTTTTTTGATGTATGTATATGGTGCACTGTGTGTTGTGTATGTTTGGTGTATGTACTTGTGTGTGTGTGTTCATATACCTGTGTGTGGGTGTGGGATGAAGACAGAGGTAGAGGTTGGTGTTTTTCCTTGATCACTCTCTACTTTACTGGCTGAGCGATCTCCCCAGTCCCACATTCAGGTAATTCTATGCAAATGTTACAAGTAAAAGGTAGAAAACTAGGCTCAATTTTATGACTAGATAACATTACGTTATTTATCAGTTACTAATGTATATAAATTTCAAGCATAGTCCCTTAAATTAAACATGAACTGAATTATTTTTATCATTATACAATACATGCTGAATACATACTGGGAAATAAAATTAGTCTTGAAAATCTCTAAAAAGCTTTCAAAAAATTCCATTTCATTCTAACAGTCGGGACCAAATCATACCTTGCTTTTGGAAAGACCCTGCTCAAATACCTGTAAGAATATATACTTATGTCCTCATGGACAATATTAATACAGACCACTCAGAGCCCTGCAAAGTGAGGCTGGGAATGGCAGCAGCCCTCCATCATGCAGAGCCTGCGTGCCAGGCTTCTCAGTGTAGGCTTACCTGCCAGGGGGGCGGAGAGGACAGGTGCATGGGGTGCAGTCCCCAGCCAAACCAATCACCTTCCCATAGTAGCCAGGAGCACACGCCTCACAGTGGTCACCAGCTGTGTGGTCGCTGCAGTTCTGGATTTCCACATTTCAAAGAGAGAGGAAGCAAAGGGAGATGGTTAGACATCCTTCTTACCAGGCAACAGCTGTACAACCATGCTTCTTATCAGATAGATAAAAAAAAAAATCTTAAGGAAGATGGAACGTTTTTCTTCATATTTCCTGAAATCCTGGAAACCTTTCCGGCTCTGGGCCTTCATTCACCATAAGACTACATTCATCTACTGCTTAGAAACTTAGTAGCTTAGAAACTACTAGTATGTTAAGGAAAATAGTCACAGAGTCATAGGACCCCTCAAAGTTGTCAGGATTCAGAAAAGTATGATGTGCATCTAAAGCATCTACTTGGGGCTCAATGGCATATAGGGAACTCAAACGGCAGACAACAGCGGGCAGATGAGTTAGGAAATGGACTATGCAGGAAGGAAACTCTTGATCTTAGAGCACTGCCAACAGAGCTTTACAATAACCAAGTGAATTCTAGTTAAATTTTATGTCATGTGGCTGGAGAGATGGCACAGCAGCTAAAAGCACTTGATACTCTTGCAGAGGACCTGGGTTTAGTTCTCAGAATGCACAGGGCAGCTCATAACTGTAATTCCAGTTCTAGAGGACCCAATGCTCTCTTCTGGCCTCCATGGGCACTGCATGTACATAGCTCACACTTGTAAGGTAAAATGTGCATACAAATAAAGTAATGATAAATAAGTCTTAAGAAACAATGTACATCATTAGTTAAATCAATAACCTTCCTATTAAAAAGAATACATAATTTTTAAGATAAAAGTGCAAGCAATTGCTGGCAACCAATTCTAACTTAAAAATTTCTGTTCACTATTTTCTCAGCCCCTGTTCCTCCTCTGATGCAGCTGAGGCAGAGACAGCAGCACCGGGAGCCCCTGAGCAGGCTCTAACCCTCACTCTGCCCTTTGTTCTTGCCAGCAAGAGATGATGTAGCAAGATACCTTTCAAAGTATTTAAGAGACTATCTTCGTGGGTTCTTTTCAATTAGAATATTGTCAAGTATTTTTCTTTTAAATTGCCTTTCCTATTTCAGCTGATGAAGACAGATTTTATTAGAATCCACGTGGCTTCTCAAACAAGTCTCTCTTTGAAGCAAAATTGGCAATCTCTTCAAAAATAGTGATAAGTACTTGTTTTGCCAACACAGCGTGAGGCAGACAAGGAGTAAATACTGGATGAGGAGAGGGTAGAGCAGATCTCCTGATGTGTCACCGTGAGCTTCAGTTCCAGCAGCAAACACTTCCCCTAACAGACAATGGACTGTAGCTTCCCGAATGCCCACATCCTACAGAATGAAAGGTAAGCTGCCCTGGAGAGAGACAGAGAACTGAGGACTTGTTACTGAGCACTAGAGTGTGGGACGCATCCATTGTTGAAGGAGATGCAGAGAAAATACTTGCCAGTTTCCTAAGGATGTGAGGTTCATTTTGTCTTCCAGATGGGGATGGTGGGAAGTAGGTATGGGGCTAAGAGGACCTCCTGGAATGTCTCCCTGGCCCTGGTCCCCCCTTTCAAGTCATGGTGACTGTGAACTTAGGCCAGTACCCAAACAAGCAAGCATACCAGACACTGTCCAGTTTCCGGGTCACAGGCATCACTGTGGTTGTTGCAACTGCAGGGCACACAAGGAGCAAGGAGAGGGCGGGGTCCCCTGCCACTGCCTTCCGAGAGCTTCCCTCTGTGGTACCCAGGGGCACAGTCCTGAAGGGAGCCAAAAAGGGCAAGAAATGAACAATATGACCCAAAACTGAGCAAAGAACTGAATATTCTCAGTGAAGACATACAAATAGCTGACGAGCATAGGAGAAGTTCAACATCAGTCTTATGAGGGAAATGCACATGACAACCACAGTAACGTCTGGGAACGGTAGCCGAGACCTGCAGTCCCAGTGCTGAGGAAGCGGAAGCAGGACTGCTCTGAACGCTGGTCCAGCCTAGGCTACAGAGTGAGTTTCAAGCCAGCATAGACTGCAGAGTGAAACATTGTCCCCAAATTCCTATCAACCAATGAAAATACTAACAAAGAACAAGAAAAACCCAAAGACAAAACCAAAAGATTCCAATCCCCAACAAAGCCCATGTCTTCAGTCAAAACAGCAAAAACTAAGTGCTGGGAAAGATGTACAGAAAATGCACTGCTTGTAAGAAAGAAAAACCGTATGAAGAGTCCTCCAGATTTAAAAGCTGAATTACCATATGATAGAATAATTCTACTTCTGGCAAACCCATACGAATCGACTGCAGGAGCTTGAAGAGCTTTTCACATGCCCCTGTTCATAGCAATAGTCATAACAGAAAAAATGGTGGACGGGACCCAAGTCCCCACAGAAGAATGGAGAAGCCAAACGAACATATTCAAATGACAGCATTAGTTGACCTTCATGCCACGACGTGGTGAACCCTCAGGACATTATGTTAAATAAAAAGGAAACACAGAAATACTATCAATCGTGTCCATATATGGGGAGCCTATAGTGGTAAAACTCACTGAGTCAAAAATGTAATGCACGCCAGGCATGGTGGCACATGCCTTTAATCCCAGTACTCGGGAGGCAGAGGCAGGTGGATCTCTGTGAGTTCAAGGCCAGGCTGGTCTCTATAGTGAACCCAGGCCAGCTGTGGCTACAGGGAGACCCTGTCTCAAAAGGACAATA